CCTGCTTTCACATATAGACATTGTAAACAGCATTGTACTGAACTATAGAATGGCTACTTAAAACCCAAAATGATCAGATCAACTGCTAGACACCAGGAATGACTTAAAGGAACAGACAGAATACACCGGCTCATACATGCAGTCAACAGAACAGCTGCTGTTACTTGTAAGAAGCCTTCCAGAGAATTTCAGTACGTAAGTTAGGAGATTCTCCTTTCCCAGTCAGTTTAAAGATCTAGCTTCTCTTCCTGTTGCATCTCCCCAGTTCAAGGACTGAGCCTTAGCTTGTCCTAATAAATCCACTGCCCTGTACTGAGATACTGGATTCCAATTTCTGATTTTCTCCAGCCTATAAACAACCAGACAGCTTGCCAGCTCCATATTGCCCTTACCCTGAGAGACATATGTGCCCAACAAACCTAGAAAGCAGCAGCACTGAAGCAGTAGCAGAAGGGAGAGGTCGCAAACTGTTTATCTTTTGCTCTGCTACCACCAACACTCGCCCTCAAACCTTTTCATAGGATGCTCTGGGTTGGAAGGCACCTTAAAGCAACCTTTTACCTCTTCACAATTTCAGAACAGACAAATCTACCTACTCTAGTTTTGGAAAAGAACAGACTTCTCAGTGATGAAACCACTTAATGTCCTGTGAAGCCCACAGCTAGCTCCTCTAACAACTTGAATACTGAACGGCAGTGTTTCCATGAGGAAACAGACTAACACTTTACATGTTCCTAGGTAGGAAATACTGTTAGCTAGTAATCAGACAGTGCAGATCGAGAATCCATAAATATTTTTTGATGCTTGTTTGCCAAACAACAAACACTAATGTTTTTAAGATATGACCCTCAAAACCAAAGAACCCTCACAACCTGATAAAATAGGAGATACAAGAAGTCACGAGGAAATAGCTGTGTGTTACTACATCATAATATTCTTACCTGTATAAATATTTAAATGACCCATATCTCTTTATTCCCTTTGGCTTCCCAAATGCCTGAAAAGGGGCACGTAGCACTAATCTACTCATGTCAGTGAGACTAATGATTTGCTAAGGAAGACGTCAGAAAAAAGCTTCCACCTCAACAACTCTCTGACCTGATCAAACATCAGACCGCTCAATGATTGAAGTAGTCACCTTGTATAATAGTGGCCTTCAACAGGACGTATAATCAAAGGTTTTCTAATCTATGAACTGGGGAAACATTTCTTGGCAAGGAAACGTCTCTGTTGTTTGCCAAGTTGCACGACTACCTTGATTACCTTGAACTTAAAATAATGATCATTAGTGGATGCACAATATAAGCACCGCAGAAATGCTAACAGTTAACTTATAAGATTATTAGGAAGTGTTTGCATTTCAGCACAGCAAAGCAGGCATTTTGTAAGATCTACTGAAGACCAGACTATAAGAGTTTTGACACAAGCAAACTTCAATTTAGAAATTTGTGAAGTTTCACAGATGTTTACAGATGGAATTTGGAGCAAATCCAAGTCTATCCCATATACTTTGAAAATGTCTTTGCTATCAGCAATGATATTTCTCTTACTGTTTATTCATCACACCTGTTTTACCCCTCTAGGAATTTCTGCAAGAATTCCAAGAGATAACATAGCTTTAGTCTTTTATATATATATATATATACACATACACACATATATACATATATATATGTACACACACACACACTCACACTGGCGTTGTTACTTTCTGCTTCATAGAAAGGCCAATGTAACTGAATCCAACTAATCTTTTTTTTTTCCTGCAAGTGAAATAGGTTTTTTTTGTTCACAAAATAGTTTTAAAGAAATTATTATATCTTAAAGCACTGAAGGTCTTCACTTCAGCTAAGCCAGTCCCATGTTAGCAAATAGAAAAAGTCTTCAAGCTCCCTATTTTTTAAAACAAGCTGAGACAGCTGCAGAACACGTGCCCCATGTAGGTACTAATTTTGATTCTTTAATTAGGTCACATTGCACCCAAAAAACCTTTCACTTTGATGGTCACTTCTGCAGTTCAGAATATATTTGAGATACTCGAATAGATACTGAAGAGAAAGTTTCACCTAAGTCTTATTCTGAAAATTTAGTATCAAAAGTGTTGATTATCCTTTAAATTACAATTAATATCTTAAAACCACTGATATGGATTAATATCAGTGGTAGCATGCATCCTGAGACGTGGCAGGTGTCAGACCACTCAGGTTTATGCCATCCCTGTTCTTCAGAGCACCTAGAATATCCTCAAATGGTTTACTGAGTTGGGGTTCTTAATCTTCAGGAGAAAAAAAAAAAAAAAAACACTTCCAGATACTTTCTGGAGGTAAGGAAATTACTCAGAAGATGGGAAATATTTCAGATAATTACTTTTTCTACTTAGAGAACTCTTACCTTACCTTTGTTTTACCACCATTTCACTGATTTCAAGTGCTTTACCCTCCTATCATTTCATGGCAACACGCATCACTTTATTCCTCCCATCAACGATAAGAAATTCAATAATTCTGTATGGTACCATGGACTGTAAAGGATAGTACAAGCACATGCACTTCAGCACTGCCAACTGCTTGCTCTTGCTAATCCATTTTGCAAACCCAATAACCAATACAGTGATTAATATGCAACTAGCAGGGCTGTATGCAGCCAAATAACTAAATAACACATTGGCACAATAATTTGCAGCATGTAAAACAGGATTTGGACATTCATAATGCTCAGTAAATATTTTTTGCAAAGCCAAGAGGAGGCAGAAGGGGTGCCTGTTGCCTTGGCTAACTGCCCTCTGCTGGCACCACCTCTGACTACCTCTGACACCTGCACTCAGACTAACCATCTTTATACCAGTAGCCTACAGTTTTACAGAATCACAGAATCACAGAATTTCTAGGTTGGAAGAGACCTCAAGATCATCGAGTCCAACCTCTAACCTAACACTAACAGTCCCCACTAAACCATATCCCTAAGCTCTACATCTAAACGTCTTTTGAAGACTTCCAGGGATGGTGACTCCACCACCTCCCTGGGCAGCCCGTTCCAGTGCCTAACAACCCTTTCAGTAAAAGGGTTTTATTGCCATTTCCATCATTTTTTGTTCAAATCAAAGCTCAATTATAGTGCTGGATTGGCAGCTTTGCATCACGGAGCATTCTAACTTAAGCACCAGTAACAGTTTCTCTGCATTATGCCCAAAAGTTAGAGTTGCTAAAGAGCTGAGGCAATCGTCCTTGGACAAGGACTTGCTAGGCATGCAAGATGTCCCACAGACTAATTAGATTTGCATTAAAACAATAGCATTCATTTTCCTGACACCAACTTCCTATAAAACATTCATGTCATCATGGAAGAAGTTTGCTGAAAATAATTAGGTTAGATAAAGATAGCAAGATAGTGTTTCTCATGGTCCTGTTGCTCTTAACATCTCTATTTCATACTTATACTTTCAACACAAGCTACACCAGGCTTGAAATGCAAGGATAATTGATGTCACAGTATAGCTGTAAGTGCAGTGATATTAAATGTGGCTTTTTATCAACATAGAGAGCACTGACCAACATGTGGCCACACCACAATAGTTCAACTATTCGCTAAAATAAATGCCCCATTTTCAACATCACTAATGATAAGTATTCCACTTTTTTTCAGCTTTGTCACTGGATTCGTCTTACTTCAGGATAGTGCTGTATAAGACTCTAATAATAATATGAAAACCCCAGAGTAGGACCCCATTAAACTAGAAGGTGGACAGAGCAAGGCCAGTCCCTACCCCAAAAATCACATCTGAATCATGGATGGTAGCTACACTTGCAGAATAAATACAGGACAAACACACAGAAGTCCCCAGATTTTTGCACACACCAGCCTAAGTCATCCTGTGCTGAGCCTAGTTTCTCATAACACTTGGAAGGACCAGCAGCAGTCCTGAGGGGGTGCAGAGGGCTCTGACTGATATGAAGGCATGATGAGAAAAGCACAGCTGTACCCTGCCCCAGGATTCTCTTGATCTTGCCCCCAAACAGCCTACAATGTAGAGAGCCAAGCTGCTCATAAAGCAGTGACCTGAACTACTGCAGTTTACAGACAGCCTGTGAAAATAAAACAGCACCAGTTTCACTTATTTGCATTGTTTCAAACTCCAACTTCCATCAAGTCCTGCATCAACCTACGGCACCATAGGAACTCTTACAATTTATCAGTTTTTGTACATCAGAGATATAATCCTAAGGAATAAGAGCACTTGCAGCCCTTTAGTTAGGTAATGCTCAGATTCTCTTTTTTTTTTTTTCAAATAACCCTCCCCAGCTTAGAAGACTCAGTTTCTCTACCAAGTGTTTTCTGAACATTCAAGAAAGTTTCTCACAAACAAAAACCTATGGGATAGCATGAGCCTCCTACACAAAAGGAAAGTCCCTTCTAGAAGATTCCTATATCCATTAACATTCACTTTGATGTTTCTGGAGTTTCTATAACCCCACTTACAATACTTGCTTTCTGCCATTCATCCTGTCTGTTCACCTCCTAAAACTGATTGTGATAAAAATCCAAGAACCCCTCAATGTCAGCCTGCAGCCCTGCACTAGTTTGAGAATTGTAGCCATTTTTTTTTACATGAACCGTTCATTCAGGAGCATGCATTAGACCAATTGACAGCATCAAAACTACCACAGAGACACGATTCTTGACCACTTTTCCAGTTGATCTCAATCTGTGTCTAATCATGGTGAAGCTATGATGATATATAACACTTGAAGGAATTGAAGGAGTAAAACTGATGTAGGTCTGTAGAGAGGATTAATGTGTAGACTTCTGTTCTGTAAAAGGTTACTAGTCTGTAACCTATTATAATAGATTAAAATTAGACAGAATTGAGTCTGAGCATGAAATGTTTGCTGTGTCAGTAACAGGGAACTGTAGCAGGCACAGTTTCCAAGTGTTTTATAGTGCTACCTGAAACATGTATCCCTTCCTGCCTTCTCAAGGGGTTCAGAGGTGGAGCCACATACCATATTCCCAAGGAACAGCTACAGCAGGTCAGGTTCAGAACTCAGCTCAGCAAAGCTCCTCATGTACTGTCTCTCCTTCACAGGTTTGTAGCAAATCCAAGTTCTGAATTCAAACAAAAAGAAGCAGTTGATTTTCTTAGCTTGCTTTCAGTAGCCTTCAGAAAAACCAACTAAGATCAGAGATGCTAGTAAGAGGATCGATATGTACAAGGACACTAATTCCTCAAAACCACATAATCTGTGTAGACCAGACAAACAGGAGAATGACTCAATGGTTTTTACTCAGTAGCTGTAGAACTTGAAGGCTCTGCGCATGCCTTTTTCCTTATACATTTGAGGAAAAAATAAGCTCTATGAGCTGGTGCAGCAGCCTGCTACTGTCTCACGCATGCTAACTGGTGGTCATGGATAGCCGGGCCCAAAGAGTTGTGGTGAATGGAGCCAAGTCCAGTTGGAGGCCAGTCACTAGTGGCGTCCCCCAGGGCTCGGTGCTGGGGCCGGTCCTCTTTAACATCTTCATCAATGATCTGGATGATGGCATTGAGTGCACCCTCAGTAAGTTTGCAGATGACACCAAGCTAGGTGCGTGTGTCGATCTGCTCGAGGGTAGGAAGGCTCTGCAGGAGGATCTGGATAGGCTGCACCGATGGGCTGAGGTCAACTGCATGAAGTTCAACAAGGCCAAGTGCCGGGTCCTGCACTTGGGGCGCAATAACCCCAAGCTGAACTACAGGCTGGGAGAGGAATGGTTGGAGAGCTGCCAGGCAGAGAAGGACCTGGGAGTGATGGTGGACAGTCGGCTGAATATGAGCCAGCAGTGTGCTCAGGTGGCCAAGAAGGCCAACGGCATCCTGGCTTGTATCAGAAACAGTGTGACCAGCAGGGCTAGGGAGGTGATCGTCCCCCTGTACTCGGCTCTGGTGAGGCCGCACCTCGAGTACTGTGTTCAGTTTTGGGCCCCTCGCTACAAGAAGGACATCGAGGTGCTTGAGCGGGTCCAGAGAAGGGCGACGAAGCTGGTGAGGGGCCTGGAGAGCAAGTCCTATGAGGAGTGGCTGAAGGAGCTGGGCTTGTTCAGCCTAGAGAAGAGGAGGCTCAGGGGTGACCTTAGTGCTCTGTATAAGTACATTAAAGGAGGCTGTAGAGAGGTGGGGGTTGGCCTGTTCTCCCATGTGCCTGGTGACAGGACGAGGGGGAATGGGCTAAAGTTATGCCAGGGGAGTTTTAGGTTAGATGTTAGGAGGAATTTCTTTACTGAAAGGGTTGTGAGGCACTGGAACGGGCTGCCCAGGGAGGTGGTGGAGTCACCATCCCTGGAAGTCTTCAAAAGACATTTAGATGTAGAGCTTAGGGATATGGTTTAGTGGGGACTGTTAGTGTTAGGTTAGAGGTTGGACTCGATGATCTTGAGGTCTCTTCCAACCTAGAAATTCTGTGACTCTGTGAATAAAGTTTCAATTTCCAGTTGAGTCTCTGAAGCCTTCATTTTTAAAATTAAAACATTACCTGGAGAGAAGTAAAGAATCCGTGAAGTTGCTACTGAGCTATGGCATGAGTGGCCAGATGAAGATCTTTCTTACAGTATTTTATGGTAAATTTCCCCAATCAGAAGGAAAAAAATCATACTTAAAAACCAGTAATTTTAATATTGGTAAACCTGTAGCTTGCCTGCCTAATTACCAAAGCTAAATGTTGAAGAATGCTACAGTTGATGTAAGCAGTTTCACATCAACTGTATGCGTTTCCCTAAATCCTCATTACATGGTTACTGAAATATTTGAAGAGTTTCACCAAGTGGATACAAGGTAACTACTGTACTTTTCCTCATTCATTGCTTGGTTAAGTAGGTACAATATTTGAAAAATCTTCTCTTTTGGATGTTTTGTCTACCTTTGCTTTTTCCTTCCTGGACACTACATTTGAATACAGAGCTTTTTTTTTTTTTCCCCACCCTGTAGCACATCCTTCTGATATCATAGAAGGGATAGAAAGAACATGCCTTAAATTCACAAATTATACTTAACTGAGATTTAAGCTTTCTGCAGGGCCTATTCCCTCTAACTTTTTACTTTTTAATCAGGAAAAAAAATAGAAGTTTTGAAATAAGGGTAAGACACCTGGCCATGATTATTATCATCTATTTTTTGCATAGAACTGATGCAGTAAAATCGTCATGACTTATTCACTATATGAAACACTAAAATCCAAACTCCAAAATTATTTGCCTTTGAGTTTGAGTCGCATGAATTTAAAAACATTCCCTGTGTGTTTCCCACAAATCATTTACCATTTGATAGACACAGTGATCTTAGACACTTAAGACCGCCATCAGAAGCAATAACAGGTTTGTAATGGGAGCCCTGTGTTTTCTGGGAAAGGAGTGTTAGTCTAGTTTCTCCTCCACTCCCTGTCAGTGAAATAAATACGTTTCAAGCATAGAAGAGAAAGCTCTTATCTTTACGCTCTTCTGTGGCTGGGGGGTGGTGATTATCACTACCCCTACAGATTATTGTGAATTATCTTACTGTCCATTTAGACTAGGATACTACTGGTCACTCCAAGTATTGGTGAAAAACAGGCTTAAATGAGGAACTTGAAAAAATAAAAGGCAAAACTGCTAGCATGGGAGAGAAATATCATCCTTATTTCAAAGTAAATGGACACAAACACATTAAAGGACAAATCTGCAATGAAATGCAGGTGTCTAGCATTCATTAAACTCCCATAGAAATTACCCATCTCAGCCCTTTTATCAGCCTTGGCCTCCATACTTTGCATCACACACAGTCACAGTTAGGAACTGTACTCCATGCTGTCCAAGTACTTCTGTAGCAGGAATCACCCTTGTGTTTGTATGAGTAACCTCAACAATTATTTCATCACCAGAAGAGGAGATAGGATGGGGGTTGAATATCCAGTCCTGAAGGATCCTAAATTCCCAACTAATATTACCTGCTCTGAGCATATAACTTATTATTAAAACCAGAGCCAAAATAAGACACTTCAGTGCAATGGATATCTCACCCATCAATGCCAGACTTCCTCACAGCTTGAATTTCCTCCACTTACAGTCAGTCACAAGCCTGCAGCATCTGTTCCTAGATGATGGCAATAGCAGCAGCCGCCAGGAGACTGTATACATCGTCCTGTTGGCTTACCTTCAATTTCTAATTTGTATGCTCTGATTATGTGAAAGGTCTTCATTTTGAAAAAAATAAATATATATATATAGGCATGCAAGTGATCATTTTCAAAAGCCAGTGAAAAATTTAAGCCTCCTTGACCATTTAGGACCACCTGAGTCGAATTTGATTGAATACTTATAAATACCTGAAAAGGTGGCTACAGTCTGACAAGCTTTTAAAACAGCTAAAGCAAGAGTTAATATAGTTAACAGAATAAAACTGTCTATATTTACATCGCCATCAAGTGGAGTTAAACATACTGTTACTGTAGTCTAAAGCGTAAAAAAATAGGTTGTGAAAAAAACATGTTAAATACATGTTTTATAAAGAGGCTTTGAAAAAAGCTAAGTGCCTGTGTTACTTTCAGAAGAGATATACAAATACAGCCACTTGAACACATCGTCACCACATTGTCTGGTTAAAGAGGGGAGGAAGGAGGAAAATACATCCTTGCAACTGATCTGAGTTGTTTTCAAAATTTTCTTCTCCCTTAAGTTGGATGACAGTTTCCCAAAAGACATGCTGCTTCCTGCCTTCTTAAGACTAAATCCTCCAAATACTGGAAGATGTCCACCAGAAAAAAACATTAGCCAGAGGGAAAAGAAAAAAAATGTTCTTTACTGGCAGCAATAAGGAACTTCCCAAAGACTACAGCTTTGAATTCTCAATCTATGTAGTTTTTATCTGCACGATCTATTGGGACTCCTCTTCTGGTTCACCTCTTGCTTCAACTTTTAGTTTCCCTAGTGTCAGGGAGAACAGAGAGCTACTACAGTGTGAATACAATCTCTCTGAAACCAAGTCTTTTGGAACACTCCCGCTTCCCAAGGCATGCCTCACCTCAGCTTAGCTGGTGCAACAGCATTCTCTTCTGGGGTACCAGTAGTAACATTATTCATCCTTACATCTGGTGTCTCTAAAAATGGTTCACTGCATAACGTAAGCAAAAGAAAGCGAGGAGACGTTAGGGTGTTAATTGTTAGCATTTGCAAGAAAAATCAACTCTTGTAATGCAAGCTAGGCAAACAGGTGATGATTAAAGTATCCTTCAGAAAGGCACTTCAGGATCCTTATGTGAATCCTAACTGTACCTTAAATTATTTACATTATATTATATCATTCTGGGTGGGTGACTAACACCCTGTTATTACTACTACTTCTGTATTCTTCCCAAAGTTGACATTTTTACAGCCAGACTGTAGGTGGCAGCAGTTCTACAGTTATTTATTTTGCCTGTTTCGTGAAATTCGGTTGTGGGAGTACAGTCAGAATGAAGACAAAAAAGCAGCCTTCTCTCTCTGGTTGTCAGAATAATAAGATGTAAAATGTTCTTGTTTCCAAAGGGTTGGTGGTTTGTTTGTTTTTTTATAACCCCCTGGAATTTGATCATGCTTTGGGTCTAAGAAAGTAGAGTTAATTCTCTTTGGGGTGTGCTAAGTCATCTTTCTCAGGGAAGGGAGATGCACTGTATTTTTTTTAGAACAGAATTTATGGCCACCTGGGCATATTTTGATATCTAGAAGCAATACTGTATGATTTCCTTCAAAAATATATCATTCTCTTGTGTTTGATAAACACTGGACAAGTGGCAAAAGCTGAAGTAGGCATTTAAAAAAAATCACTTAGAACCATAAGATTCAGTTTTATGGATTGTGATTCAATATTCAGTGTGAAAACAGAGAAATCCAGATTAGTGGTAAAATCTGGATAGAAGTAGAACTGATTCTCTGCTGAGTTAAACAAATTTGGCCTGTCTGCCACAGGATTGGAGCTAGTAAAACCAAACTAAATTCAAATTCTTCCTAAGCTCCTTAATGAGCCTGGTACAGTTAAGGTGTAACCCAAACATCACAAGTTATATATTTTTGTGCATGCAGTTATACAAAGAATATTATGGCTATAGTATCAGACTCAGCAACACTACATCAGTGTTCATGTAGGTAGTATATCTTTATGTACCAACACCCATACCCTCCCCAAAATACTCCATGACTATCTTTACTTACATGATATTATCTTTTATTCACCCCTCCAAGTCCCTGTTTGCCAGATGAGCAGTGGTATCTTGTCCTATTTTCCTTGCTGTACATGTATTCCTGTATCTTGTTCAGTGAAACTTGGTAACACTGAGGCTGGAGGCATGTTGTTGATGTGCCCATGGATTTTTTTAATGTTACTTATACCTACAATAAAGCCAAACAAAATTCAGATTATAAATGCAGCTTCACAATCACCTTTTGAGTTGGTCCTTACCTGCCAGAGAACACTGTCAAGGCACAACAAAGTTGAAAGTTGCAGCCTCTCAGCCACTTGTGGCCCTAATACTTCAGCAGCCAAGACTTCCCTCCACCTACACACTGGAGTCCTGACTGTCTGTTGTTGTTGGTCTTATGTTTGTTTGTTTTTCAAGTATCAGTCAGCCTTAGCATTGATGTCCTTTAAGGAGACATTAGATCCAGTCCTTAACAAAACAACCTTGAGAGCATGGCTTTAAGGAGATTACTGCTGTTAAAACAAATTTTGTATTAAGACAAAAGGTAAAAACAAAGCAAAGTTACCACAAAGAAAACAACAGTCAAGTCAGTAGTGCTGGACTTGATGATCTGTATCTGTACTGCCAAAAGTGAAATGGTTTGCATCACACTGTAATGAACCCACTACAGCATTCAGCACTGAAGCTAGCTCTGAGACCTGGAAATCCGGCCCCAAACTAGGCAGGCTTCAATAAAGAAAAAATCCCTGTTTACCCTCAGCACCAATTTTATCTAAATTAATTATTGCCCACTATTTGACTTACACGATTAAAGAGTGAATCCGATCATGGGATTGCAGATCTCAATATAACCCACTACATTTCAGGTTCTGTACGTGGTAAAAACTGTTAGAATAATTTTAGGTCTCTTTACCAGTATTGTTTTAGTTTGATGATAAATATTCATTTCAGATCAATCAGAAGAGGTGAACTTCCTTGGAAGCTATAGAAAAACAACTCAGTGTCCTTCACCTCCTCAAAGTTAGAGCTTAAGAGCGTCTCTATAAATTTAGAAAGGAAATCCAGTAGTACACCTCTGGCTACAGCCCAATCTGTGCATGATGGATCTCACCCTAAGGCATCCTGACCCCATAGCAAAGATCAAAATCTTTCAGCCTCTGGCATATTGGTTTCTGTAGGCAGGTCTTCATTTGAGGTAACTGGAGGACCAAGATCCCTAGGCATGGCGTGCACCTTGCTATGGAACCTCTCACATTGTGTGTGCCCACTTCCCAGTGATTTTCAACTCTTCCTCCATACGTCATTTTCTCAGCTGGATTTTGAAGCTAACTCTCCAACTCCGGCGGATACTTCATGTAACATTAAGCACATTTCGGAAAGTGATGTTTGGGGGTTCTGCTTTCTGGTTTTCTATGTCACAGCCTAAACTTGTCTGCAGAACCTCCCTGTGTCACTCTTACCCATTGCACCAAAGAGTCAGTTCCTCTCTAGCACTTCTCAAAAGCCCCTCCACACAGCTGGAAACAAGAGCCCCCGCCTTCACCCAGTTACCCATTTGCCTTGGCAAGCAGAGCATCTATAACATTCTGCAGCTCAACTCCTGCTAGTTCATTCCTTCTACTTGTTTTTCATGCTGGGGCTTTCCTTGATCACAAGCTTACAGTGCTCATCAACAGTGCCACAGTTCTGCCAATTCTGGTGAATCTTGTTAAGGCATAGCCTAAAAACACTCAGAGGGTACAGACCATCTCTTCCAGGAGACAGGCTCACAACTTAACATTTTCTCTGCAGAACTAAGCCCTAAATCCCTCCAGAAGCTGAAACAGATTCCTTGCCACAGGATCACAAAGTACATGAGTTCTTCAAAAACAGAAAGGTTTTCTGAAAGATTTCTCATCATTCCACACTTTTACTCTGTAGAGCTCAGGAAAAGTGGGAAAAAAATGGCATCTTAAAAGCACTTAAACTCACCCTTTTGGTAAGTATCTCAGAAATTCCATATGCAATAAACCATGCACTATGGCAGCTCTAGAGAAACTAAACTTTGAGCTCCTGGTAGGGCTCTTCAGGCTGTCATATGACATCTTAATTAGCCTCCTATCAGGTGATGAGATCTTCATCAGGTGACCGCAATGCCAATGTGCTTTTACTGGTACCCTCAAACACATAGTTTCTTCTCTCTGATAACCTATAGAATGTTTAGAAAGCTGTTATTTTAAGAGTCATTTCCTTAGCTCTGTGACCTTCTGGTGCACTGCAATTCTTTGGCATCTGGTTTTGTTGTGGAAACCCTTCACACTGTGGCAAGCAGCACACAGTACCCAGTTGTCTGTGCGGGTTAACGTTTAATGGGATGAATTAGATGGAAATCCACTGGGGCTTTTTCTGTTTGTTCTCTATCAAGTTTGTCTCTTCTCTTATGTGGCCAAGACAGATGCTGAAATATTGACTCCATTTACTCAGAATTTCCTCTCTGGTCCTCATTAAACAAGTTTAGATTAATGAAGGAAGTCTGACACACTGCCCTCTTTTTTTATTTATTTATTTATTTTTTTTAAGATATATTTTAGCAAGTCTGGAGATTCCAGAGCTGCTGTTCATAGTTCAGGAGAAGTACTTGACTAACAGAAGTCTGACTTGTGAACATTACCAAATCTGGAAATTTTGGAAACTGTTCAAGTAGTCATACTCCTTTTTAAGCTAGATGTTGAAAACAATACAACTATTTTCTTTATGGATTTGAGGGCAGGATTAATTTTGGGGTGATTTCCTTTATTTAGATCAGAAATACACCGTCTTACATATTTTATATCCATTGTGTTTGTTCTGTAATGCCTCTTTCAAGCATTTCCACGCAAGCCAAAATGGAAAAGATTTAGCAATCAAAACCAGTGGGAGCTTCCCTTAATAGAAATGACCAGCAAGGATTTGGCAACGTATTCTGTTGATTGCACACATTCTAAACAGAGTCCAGAGGAGGCCCTTACAGCAGTCTTGGCACTGAAGCACACACAGGAGTTAAAAGGAGGCAGATCGTGTTTTTTCCATGATATGGCTTTGATATATGCATGGAAAAAGGGCACTTTGCATAGCTATTAAGACAACTTAATAACAAACATAATAAATCTAAATAGCTGTTTTTCTGCTAAGGGGTAACGTGAAGGAAAAGAAAGACTCGTGGTTGGTTTTGGCCCCTGGGTAAAGAACTGTAACAGGTTTGGACATGCACTTCATGTGATCAGGCTTCTCCGCTGAAATCTCTGACCTGTTCTGGTACAAACATGAATCACAGTCTGAGTGAGAAACTCTGCTGCAGTCCTCAGAAAAATCACAAGGTTCCTGGTAGCTTGAGATGATAATGTCCTCATTTGCGGCACTACCTGAACATTTCATGACTTCACATTTACAGTATTTTGTCAATTTTGTCACAAGTAAGGAGTTACATGTTTATGTGGGGAGGAAGGGGGGATAAAGATCAATGACTTTTGAAGTATTTTTCCCTTAAAAAAAGTTGAGTATAAGATTTCTTCACATCAAGAACTAATAAACATCTGAGATGCAGCAGTGCCTGACAGTTTGAGGTCATATTGGATGAAAGTTAGTAGAGGTGGATTTCTTTTTTTAAAATGTAGGTCACAGTGATAAAAGGCATCAGTTTTATAGTGCAGTAATCTACTTTGCAGGTTACCTTCCTGCTCAGCATTTCTGTTTCAGCTTGTACAGCTCACAGCAGAGCATTTTTTAGAGAGGGAATCACTAGCTCTAATTTTAGCGAGAGCATTTGTCGGCTAATGATGCTACTTTGTCACATAAAACATTGAGAAGATGTAGAAGATGAGTTGTATGTAATTTGATCAAATCTCACCTTTTCCAGTTTCAAGTTTATTCAATGCTCTTCCAAGGTTTTAAAGCCCCAGCTTAATTAAACTATTGGTAGATCAGGAGACTGACCTGTGGCAGCTATTCAGTTTTCATCTTCATACAAGTTGCAGTAATTAATACAACCAGAAAAAAAGAAAAGACATACTACTTACTGCATGTTATTGGAGGATCAAAATAAGATTAACTGTTTTTGCGTCTACGTCTATCAAAACCACAGTTTGGAGACTTGTTTGCTTGACACATTGCTTGTTTGTTTGCAAAGCAGGAAAGAATAAAGGTTACATGTGCTACTAAACAGGAATTGGTCACCAGCTATTGCCTCTATTTTAGCTTTTCTGACTCTTTCTCCAGTCTTTGGCTTCAAAGATCAGAGTTTCTAAGTTATACTGGAAATCTACATATAAAACCCAGATTCTGAGCCTTTTGCTCTAACAATAAGTTCATTTTTATATTATGAAGGGGGCTGATTATATTGCTAGTATTAACAGCCTATTGATGAGCACTTCTTATCAATAAGTGATTATTTTCAGCTCATAACTTCACCAGAATTCCTTTGTTTTGTATGGAAGTTGCCACTCTATGGCATCTGAATTGTTAGGACAGGGATGGTCTGGAGAAGAACTGCACATTCAAGAGACTACATTCCATAGGGCTCCCATGACTTTTCCAGCATTAGCTGGGAGGATTATAGCAAACAAAGCAAGTAACTCTGGAAGAGAGAGGATCTTCTCCTTAATTCTGCCCAATAAGCTGTTATGCCTCCTCTGCTGTGCCAGAGTTGTTCTGTGATTCTGGTCACATCACTTAAACCAAACTTTTCACAGGTAGTCTGTGTTCCTCATTTTCTAGTTGCTTTACTTGGACACTGAAGCCTGATTGCAGAAGTGCTGAAAGTACTCATATCTGCAACAGAAGTCAATGAGGGCAAATATCTGGGGAAAAAAAAAAGTACTATACCAGAGTGTACCAACATTTCTAGTTGGGCAGGTCCTGGAGGACCTGCGATGTCAAATAGCAAGCGAGTCTTCTAGTTGCACGACCCCCTCCTACAAGTAGTGTTATGGGATGGAGCAAGACATAGGATGCAGGGCCATAGAAATTGTGCAAGTATTGGACAGATTGATCTTAAGTTATAGTGTGGGCATATTATCTCTTGAGATAAAAACTGTGGGAAGAATTAGGAACAATCTGAGGCACAGAGAATCTAACATTCATATCTTTGATCAACATTTCTCTCGACTTCTGTTCTATATCCTTCGAATAAGAACAGCATCTTTGTCACAAGGAGAACATTTTTCTAACCTGGCT